GCCTTAGCCGGTTGAGCTATAGGCGCCGAGCCGCTGTGAGCTATTGTTACAGGAAGATGAGGCCCAATGGAGAGAAAGAGCACTCAAATACCATATTTAAGAAGAAAAAGGCTTTTATTCAGCTGGTGGACTGATATTTAGCTGGTGGAGTGAATGGCATAGATGAATTCAAAGTGGCAACACTCCCTAATTGGCTTGGTCTTTCCCCTTTTATCTCCAGTCAAAAAGTTCCAACCCATGGGTACCTTTCTCATTGGTCAGTTTGAATCAAGTGGGAGAAGCTGTTCCAGCCCCTACAGAACTACAGGATTTCACAGAAGTGGAGATTTCCAAGTCCCAGGAAGTTAAGTCTACAAATTCTTAAGAACTGAGTCACCATGGAGAGGACCCAGCAGGTGTATCTTTGGGGTCTCCTTGAGAAGACCTCTGTCCTCCTAGACCTCACCTTTCCTGGGTATCTTCTCACTATGACACCCCAGCACTCTACCCAGAGTGACAGAGTAAGAAGACTTTATCTCTAAATAAATCAATATCCCCATGATTTAATGTGAGTTGATGCAAAGCAAGCTGCAAATGACTTAATAACCTTCTTTGCATAAAATAAAGAAAAAAATGTGCAATGATCTATAAAAGTGGTTATTTCTGGGTGGCCAGGATTTGGGAGCAGGGTAAACCAAGGCAGGGATTGTGGAAGGGCTTAAGATATGCCTTTATCATTTTAATTTTTTTTTTTTTGAGACAGAGCCTCAAGCTATCCCCCTGGGTAGAGTGCTGTGACATCACAGCTCACAGCAACCTCCAACTCCTGGGTTCAAACAAGTCTCCTGCCTCAGCCTTCCAAGCAGCTGGGACCACAGGTGCCTGCCACAATGCCAGGCTATTTTTTGGTTGTAGCCGTCATTGTTGTTTTGGCAGGCCCGGGCTGGATTCGATCCCACCACCTTAGGTGTATGTGGCTGGTGCCTTAGCCACTTGAGTCATAGGCACTGAGCCATATCATTTCAATTTTTAAAGTATATTGATCTATGAAGTATTCAACAAAATACATTTTATAATTAAATGAAGAATTTACAACTTGACTGATGAATTTCACTTTTTACTTTAAAGTCATATTTTCCATCTAAGTTAGGAATTCCTTCTATTTGAGAGCTTTAATGGCCTCTGCATTTCAACAGCAAGCTGTTGGAAGTCCAGGTGTTCTTCCAGTTTCCCATTTATGTATTCCCACTTATCTTCTTAAATATGCCTATTCTAGTACTACTTCAGTATCAAAAAATTCAAACCTTTATTTTGGGTCCTAAGATTCCCTTGTAGTCACTACTCTGGGCTTTCATGAAACAAAAAGAAATATGACGCTCAAATAATTAAAAAGTTGTTGAATGCAGGAGCAAACCAGAGATTATACTGCTGACCCTCTCATTGCTGAATGATGTGAAAATCTGCCCTGCCATTCACCAGAAAGATCTCAAGACTGCAAGCAGCAGTCAAAAGGAAATAACATCCCTCCTCTTCCTCTTTGAGGTTTTCTTACTCATTAAGAAAAAAAATTTTTTTTTTTAAGTCAGAGTCTTGCTTTGTTGCCCTGGATAGAGTGCCTTTCAAGTAGCTGGGACTACAGAGGCCAGCCCCAACACCAGGCTAATTTTTATTTATTTTTATTTTTTGAGACACAGTCTCACTATGTTGCCCACAAGTAGCTGGGACTACAGGGGCCAGCCCCAACACCAGGCTAATTTTTATTTATTTTTATTTTTTGAGACACAGTCTCACTATGTCTTTGTATCACAGCTCACAGTAACCTCAAACTTTTGGGCTTAGGCAATTCTCTTGCCTCAGCCTCCCAAGTAGCTGGGACTACAGGTACCTGCCACAATGCCCAGCTATTTTTTTTTTCCATTGTAGTTGTTGTTGTTTAGCAGGCCCGGGCTGGGTTTGAACCCACCAACCCCGGGGTATGTGGCCGGTGCCCTAACCACTGAGCTATGGGTGCTGAGCCAACCCTAGGCTATTTTTTTAGACACAGGGTCTCACTCTTGCTCACTCTGGTCTAGAACTCCTGAGCTTAGGAGATCCATCTGCCTCTGCCTCATGGAAGTGCTAGGATTATATGTGTGAGCCATCACACCCTGTCCCTAAGAAATTTTGTTCTTAAAATTCATAGTCAATCAAAAACTTTGCTGTTTTGAAATCCTATCAGTAAGAAAGAAACATCCTATTGTTGTCTGAGGGGTTCCAAGTCTCTTGGACGCTGAAGTAGTCTAGCTGGGTTTATTACCCAGTGAGCTGCAGATAAAAAGTTTGGAGACAGAGACAACATTCTACATCTATCTTTTCTTTCTTTCTTTTTTTTTTTTTTGAGACAGAGTCTCAAGCTGTTGCCTTGGTGGAGTGCTTCAGTATCACTGTTCACAGCAACCTCAAGCTCTTGGGCTTAAGTGATTCTCTAGCCTTAGCCTCCCAAGTAGCTGGGACTATAGGTGCCTGCCACAATGCCTGGCTATTTTTGGTTATAGTTGTTATTGTTGTTTGGGGGGCGTGGGCTTGATTTGAACCTGCCAGCTCCTGTGTACGTGGCTGGCACCCTAGCTGCTTGAGCTACAAGGCTCTGAGCTGACCTTGTAAGAGGGCCAGACTAGCTCCATTTTGTGGTTTACTGCACAAGCCCCATTCCTAGTTGTTTACTACACAGTGGTTTACTGCACAAGCCCCATTCCTAGTTGTTTACTACACAGTGGTTTACTGCACAAGCCCCATTCCTAGTTGTTTACTACACAAACCCCACTGTTTACTACACAAACTCCATTCCTAGCCCCTCTGCCCCAACCCCTGCCAGTAAAACCTGCAAAGCCACTCCCAGCTGCCTTCCCCCACCCCTCACCTGTACCAATCCAAATCCTCCTTTACTAATGAAATCACCAACCACCAATCAAAAGTGTACTCATACCCTCCTCCGTTTCTTGCTTTCTGTACCCCATAAAAACTTGCTCCACCCGGGTTCGGGGCTCATCCTAGGCTTGCATGCTAGGGGAGTCCAGACCGGTCTGAATAAAACCTCACCTCATGCTTTTTACATTGGAGTGCGTCTCGGATTCGTCTGTTGCGGCTATTTGGGAGAATAATTTTTGGGCATAACACTTGTAGTTTCTAAGGAAACATCCAGACCAGATAACTCCATTACACACAACTCAGCTCTGAGCCTATCTAGGAAGATACAATAGCCAATTGCAATTTAAGTTTTCCTTGAATTCCTCACCTTTTCTCCAACCCTATAAAAACCCTCTTGCCTTTGTTTGACAGGGTGGAGGGGTTGCAACTTCCCTTCTTGCAACAAACCAGAAGAACTGGGGCTCCAGTTTCCTTCCTAGTATTCTCAGGCACATTAATTTAGGACAATAGGGATGGCAGGGAGGAAGAGGAAGAATGCATCACTCCAGGTCTGCTCAGGTGAGCAGGCTGAAGATGGCTTTTACCTGATTTTCCATGAGGAAAACATCACCATCTTTGCTTTGAGTTCCCTGTGAGCCAAATCTTACTGGAGATCTCATCAATAGCAAAAATGCAACTTTCTCCTACTGAGAGAGGTTACCTGAGAAGGGTGAGGTCTAGGAGAACAGGTCTTCTCAAGGAGACCACAAGGATATACCTGCAGGGTCCTCTCCATGGTGACTCAGCTCATGGGAATTTGTAAACTTAACTTCTTGGAACTTCTGTGAAATCCTATAGTTCTTTCTTTTTTTTTTTTTTTTTTTAAAACTTAAGTATATTTGTTACAACCCCTTTTAAGTAGATTGTGACTTGGGCACTACATTTCCATTCACAAGCCTCAATTTTCCAATAGCTTTACAACATGCCTGGGTAAGCTTCTAATTTTGCTCCTCTAAACAGTAACTTTTCTTTGGAAAACAAGCCCTGCGTAGTTTCATCA